CAATCTTACTCGCTTCTGATTGGTTTTAAAACAATAGGCGACGGTCACATGTACGTCTTGCGCTTGCATCGCCGAAACACGCCATAAGTCTAAAAACACATGGAGGCCAATGCCTGACGACGATCTTCGATGTCAGCTTCAATCATGTGAATGATCTTCGCTTTAAGAAGAGTATTGATGAACTAGAGAGTACTTCCCAAATGTAAGCTTCTTTAAGTAATTACGAGAAGGGGTGCGATCTTAACAAATTTTAGCAACGCGTACGTAGCGTTCGTTTAGCCAAGAAAAACAGGAAAATGCTGCCTAATCGCACAGTCTATTTTAGCGCACTGAGACGCAAAACCCTTTAAGGCGAACGAGTTTTCTTCATACGCTTACTACAGTACCACATGCCTTCTGTGACAGATATTACGTAGTTGTGTATATAAGCAAGCGGTTGTTTCATTTAACTCTCAGGAGACCACAAGAATTGTTGGGAAACGAATGATTCTGTCACGGAATATAAAAAAAGCTTTTTCACGCACTTTATTACTTGTTCAATATGTTCTACAGCTATTGCCACCTCCTTCATCAGTTGGCTTACAAAGCATTTAATACATAATTCAGCCGGTCAACCGAAATTTCAAAAATTGCTTGGGTAAGCAAAGTTCACGTGTAACTTCACGTGACTTTTGATTCCTTAGTTGGAGTTTGGACTTTTTCCGCCATCCCTTTTGGTTCTTTAAGGTGTTTGAAACTCGAATACATGTACTTCCCGTTGCAAACTGTGCAAGCAGAAGAATGAGAGTGATTTTTACGCCATATTTAAAGTTTGGCAGAAAGAACTTTAAAATTGCATATTTATATAAATACATTCCTGCACACAGACGTCCTTAACATTATCATAGCATGCGACTTTCCCGGTTGAGTACATCTGGTATCACAAAGCAACAAATGTTATCAGTATCAACGTTCATTATGTATACGTATGATTCTTTTAAATCAATTTACAGTGGGTAAAAGTTCCACTGCTAAAAGCTGTTGGTGAAGTGTTTTAAAATGTGGCATCGCAGGTCACTAAATAACCTCTTGAGCTATGCAAATTACATATGACTCCAGACTGGTCTTACGCAATCGATTTGTGCTTAAGCAGTCTATACTTTTATAGCAAGACGACGGTACGAATTATCGAATTGAACGCAGTTGTGATCAATCATTTGCATCGAATCTTCTAGCAGCGCGAACCTCCAGTCACCACAAATTTTAGCTGAAAGAAGCGCTAGATTACCTTTTCTAGCCTTCCTTTTGTCTAGTAAGTGTTAACTCACAACTAATGGACAAAAGGTCCCATCCAAAGTGTGGGTTTTATTCCGCCGATCCATCACAGACTCCCTCTCCCACGCAAAGGACGCGTGGTGGAATCCCGGGGGGTGGAATTCCACAGACGGAATTTTGATATTTTCGATCACAGTTATATGAATTAGCAAGAGCTTTTACACAATACCCTGACTAGTTGCTTTTTAAGGCATCGTTTGGAGATTTTGTGATAGCTTAGGCTGATTTCAGTATAATGGTCGATGGTTGCCGTTGCGGCCGGAATTTCCATGTAGCTCCTCGACGTCTTCCAAGTCCTCGAATTTACATGCATTTGAGCCTTTGTACACGAAAGACACCCTCCTCCATCTGCATAACTCTTCGTATAATATTCAGCCTTATTCAGTAATTGTTAAAATATATATATAAATATCAAGCCCTGGAAATATATACCTCGCGAATTTCAAAAATAAAAGTTAATTTCAGTCGCGTTAATTTTTTGAAACGTGCCGCATGGAGCGTTGGTTTCCGCGACCTTAATTTCCATTACTTTGGATACACATCTGACATTCTTTACACCTAAGAAAGAGGAGTATTTTATCAGGGTGGAGATTCGTCAAACAGTGAAACTGTGAAGAACCCTCGAGGTCGCCAGATTTCTTCGCTTGGCCCCCTTCGATCGTACGTTTAGGGAAAGTACCACGAACAAAGTTTCTATTTCAGATTATAGCAAGGCTTAACTCTGTTTTCGTTGTCTCAATAAGTTTTCTCTTTGTTAGCGTCGCGTTAAAATTTTACCCTCTCGTTGGAGTTAATTTCCTGTATTTGAAAGTCTTTTCCCGCTGAATTCGTGTAAATTTAAGTCGCGTTAATTTCCAATACCTTAATTTCATGGAGCGTTTATTTCCTATGATATGCCTAGTGGGGCATCCGAGTTTGCAGGCCCCTGAAAGACGCGCCATCACGCAACGAATTTATAAACCTCGCACGTATATTAAGGAAAGTACTTACAGTTGAAATATACAGTCAGGATGTCAGAAAAATCTCGATTTGCTTGAACAGGGGCCGCGAGGAATCGGTAGGTAATGAGTACGAGATGGTTAGGATGATGTAAAAACAGAAAATCCCGAAGGGACCCCATAGGTAGATTTTGTCACATTTATTGTACGGTCATACTAAGATACTCTTAAAGTGTTACGTGTTATCAGTGACATTCTGTGGAGCAGCTGTTTTGAAAGTGATGGACCAAAAATAAGGACACTCGTTAAGCGCAGATGAAGTTATAAGGTTTGTATAACTGGGTATATAAACACTTGGAGAGTTTGCCACACACTCTTTCTCGATCTCTTTGGGGTAATAAGGAGGGCTTCCCAGGGGGGGGGGGGTCCTTGTTCCCTTCCAAAATTGCCCTATGTTCCCATGTTCCCACACGTTTTCATTATTTGTTCCCCTTTTAATAAATTTGCTTACTACTTATCACCGCCATCAATTCCCTCCCGCAAAAAAAAAAGACATTAAAAACAAAAGTTACAAAAGAAGAGAATAGATTGTATGCACTGTGTATGCGACGTTCAATTTGTGTGACACATCATCTTAAGCATTTGAGCGAAATTCACAATCCATCATAGTGGGATGAGTATTAGAATTAACTTTAACTGGTTAAAAATAAGCGACCGGCATGAGTAAAGTAGACAAAACCAATGACAGTGGTGCATAAATGACCATAAATAAAATCTCAGAAATAACGCTCTTTATTTCTTATATCGAAATGTTTTTGTCCTCTAACTTGTACAGTTTTGTTCCCGTTCCCTAAAAGTAGGCTGATTGTTCCCTTGTTCCCTGAGATATTTTGCCAATCAGTTCCCTTGTTCCCCCAAACCCCTGGGAGACCCTCAATGAGACTCAGTCCCAAACAAGGCAAGACGAATGAATCAGTGGCTAGATTATCACTAGCAGAACGATGGACGATCACAGAAGTTCGCCAACAATCAAATTCTGTGCTGACTTATTATTCCCGGCTCACAGATGTCCTTCAGGGGATAAAGTTCTAAAAATGGCTATAGAACGCTCGAGTGGGAATCAATCTCTTGAACCTTTTAATTTCTAAGGCTTACTTTCCGGCAAATAAAATGAACTGCCGTGGTTATACATGGCAGTACATGTCAATACATGCTAATACATGGAAATCCACTGTTCAACATATCCTAAATATATGATGTAATCATATATCATTTTTGATACACTTAAATAACCCTAATTAAAGTCCTACCCAGTTGGGGAGTACCGCGGGCGCATCGATGTACACCCAAGGCTGGGGAGAACGTACAACGTCACGTTTTTGGATTGGAAACGTTCAAGCTAGTAGAAGTGGGGATGTAAAAGGTATTTAATAAGGTAGTTGCTAGTGGGTATGTAAAGAAGTGGGAAAGAGTGCTAGGTAGGCTAGGAAAAGATGGCGAAAATCTTTAGCTTCCTTGTAGTCAGCATCTTTCCAAACAAGTCAAATAGACCTTGTCGCGGTTTTCGACGCCATCTTGACGAGTAGGCAAACGTGTGAGAAATTGCAGTGCTTGTATGAGAATCTAATGTCGAATGATTTCCGTAAAACGGCTGTTCTGAAAAAAATATGACTTGTAAACTAAAGCTACAAAACAAAGGATTGTACTTAAAACTTTTTTTGGGCGTACCTGTGCTTAATGAATTTCTCCAGAGGCTTGCTTTAAATTTTCCATATATTTGTCTCTGATTTTTCCCGGGACTTTCTTACGGACAAATCTACACCTAATTGCAATAACTTTGTCATAGAAAAAAGCAAAAAGACGAATAGGAATAAATTAGCCATGCGATTTACATTTGCGTAAATTAATTCAGTATTTAACAGATATTTAGGAATTCATTCACAATAACAAGAGATAATTCTGTAATTCCACGCTGTAAGATAGACAGGCGCCATAGTCATTTCAGAGCCAACATTCTCCATCAACAGAAGTCGCACAATTCGAAAAAGAAAAAGGTAAAT